AAAACAATCAAAAAACAATGAAAGAAATTGCTGAGAAAGTGGATAATAACCAAAAGGAAATTCAAAAACAGAATCAAATAAGAGATGAATGATATAAAGAATACAAAAAGGATATAGCAGAGCTGAAGGAACTGAAGCAGTCAATTAGGGAACTCAAAGATGTAATAGAAAGCATTAACAACAGATTAGAGCAGGCTGAAGTAAGAATCTCAGAGATAGAGGATAAAGCTCTCGAGATAACTCAGATTGTTAAAGTGGCTGAAAAGAAGAGAGAGAAAGCAGAATGTTCACTGATAGAATTGTGGGACTCTTATGAAGTGTTCAAACATATGAGTTATAGGTATCCCAGAAGAGGAAGAAGAATGCTCCAGAGGAATGGAAGCCATTCTAGAGAATATTGTAAATGAAAATTTCCCAGATATCACTCAAGATTCTGCCAGACTCCTTTCAGAGGGATATTGGTCCTCTGGTTGCCTCAACTCAAAGAGACCTTCTCCAAGGCATATTGTGATGACTTTATCTAAAGTCAAAACAAAAGAAAAGATTTTGCAGGCTGCCAGGAGTAAGCGCCAACTGACTGACAGGGGCAAACCTATCAGGGTGACCAGGGACTTCTCAAATGAAACTTTTCAAGCTAGAAGACAATGGTCATCTATCTTTAGCCTACTTAAACGAATAATTTCCAGCCCAGAATTCTATATCCTGCTAAGATAAGCTTTAAAATTGATGGAGAAATCAAATTTTTTGTTGTTATGCAAAAACACTGAGGAAATTTGCCACAAGACCAGCTTTACAGGAAATATTTTAACCTGTCCTACACACTGACCTTCAGCAAAGTAAACACCCAGAAATTAAAGGACAGAACCTAGTTTCCACAATGATGCAAAAGACAAAACTAAACAATGGACTTTCACAAAATAAGATGAATAGAATGGGACCATACTTGTCAATTATCTCAATAAATGTCAGTGGCTTGAATTCCCCACTGAAGAGGCATAGATTGGCTGATTGGATGAAAAAACACAAGCCATCTATTTGCTGTCTGCAGGAAACATACCTCATGTCAAAAGACAAATTAAAACTCAGAGTTAAGGGTTGGAAATCAATTTTTCAGGCAAATGGAAGTCAGAAGAAAAGAGGAGTTGTGATCTTATTTTCAGATACATGTGGGTTTAAATCAACTAAAGTTACAAAAGACAATGACGATCACTTCATATTGGTCAAGGGAAAATCACAACAAGAAAACATTTCAATTCTAAATATTTATGCACCTAATTTAAATGCTCCTAGATTCTTGAAACACACCTTGCTTAGTCTGAGTAATATGACATCCTATAACACCATAATAACAGGGACTTTAACACCCCTCTCAGAGCTGAACAGAACCTTCAAACAGAAATTAAACAAAGATATTAGAGATTTAAATGAGACCCTAGAACAACTGTGCTTGATAGACATTTATAGAACACTCCATCTCAAGATAAAGAATTTATATTCTTCTCATCGTACCATGGAATAGTCTCTAAAATTGATCATATCCTAGGACACAAAACAAACCTCAATAGAATCAAAAGAATTGAAATTCTACCTTGTATCTTTTCAGACCACAAGGCACTAAAAGTGGAACTCCACTCCACCAATGATGCTTAACATCACACAAAGGCATGGAATTTAAACAACCTTATGCTGAATGATAGTTGGGTACAGGAAGAAATTAAAAGGAAATCATTAACTTCCTTGAGTATAACAACAATGATAACACAAGCTCCCAAAACCTATGGGCTACAGCAAAAGCTGTCCTGAGAGGAAAATTTATTGCTTTAGAAGCCTACATTTGAAAAACAGAAAGAGAGTGCCTCAATAAACTCACAAGACATCTGATGGAATTGGAAAAAGAAGAACAATCCAAACCCAGCAAAAGGAAAGAAATATCCAAAATTAAATCAGAGATCAATGAAATTGAAAACAAAAGAATCATTCAGAAAATTAATGAAACAAGTAGTTGGTTTTTTTAAAAAATAAATAAAATAGATAAGCCCTTGGTGAGACTAACTAGAAGTAAAAAAGTAAAATCTCTAGTTACCTCAATCAGAAATGATAAAGGGGAAATAACAACTGATGTCACAGAGATATAAGAGATCATCTCTGAATACTACCAGAAACTTTATGCCCAGAAATTTGATAATGTGAAGGAAATGGATCAATATTTGGAATCACACCCTCTCCCTAGTCTTAGTGCAGATGAAATAGATCTCCTGAACAGACCGATTTTAAGCAGTGAGATCAGAGAAACAATAAAAAATCTTCCAACAACAAAAATGCCCTAGTCCGGATGGCTTCACACCAGAATTCTATCAAACCTTCAAGAAAGAGCTTACTCCTATACTGCAGAAATTATTCCAAAAGTGAGGAAGAAGGAATCTTCCCCAACATGTTCTCTGAAGCAAACATCACCCTGATACCAAAACCAGGAAAAGATCCAACTAAAAAGGAGAATTTCAGACCAATTTCACTAATGAATATAGATGCAAAAATTCTCAATAAAATCTTAGCTAATAGATTACAGTTTATCATCAAAAAAGTTATACATCATGATCAAGTAGGTTTCATC